TTGACTCGTGAAAAGAGCAGATGTTAATGTAATTGTCGGGTTCATGAATGTTCATGGACACTCAATCGGACGGTACAGGTGCGTCCCCTTTTGTAAAGGAGATTATAATTTTTGCTATTTCCACGTAGATATATACTCTAGTTTGTGATTGTAGACGACAACAGCGAAAAATTGACGGGGAAGAATCAAAATTCCCCGGGGAATATGGTGCTGTAAATTTTGATCGGACGGTTGAGGATGATTGTAGGCTTGGTAATTGGGTTGGGTAGTGCTTTTGACTTTGACCTTTAAAGGCATGGATTGGTGCGCAATCATCGGGAAGCATTCTGTGCCGAGCCAACAGGAAGGTTGGGTCAATGCAAATGGCATAATACTATTTATACAATATTTCTCATTATATGTGTAATATTACTCATATCAACACAATGGAATTAGTAAATGAAAACAGTAATATTACGTTTATCGAGTAAATTACCGATTTTCACTTGTCCAATTCTCAAAATCTCAAATTTTAACTTAATCAGTATATCAAATCGGTACCTTTATCGGTAACTCAAGCATTATTGAAATGAAAATGAGTGGCGTTCAGTTACCAGGCAGTCGGTGGGATACGTTGGAAATTCGGGCCCATTAGCTAATACTCTGTAATATAATTTTCTTAAAAATAATTTTGGAAGAAAATAAAAGGTTGTGATTTTCAGATATTTTGAAGAGTTTAAAAATATTTTTGTAGATGATAATATTAAGTTAGATATTTATTATGAGTTGCCATGTTTTAGGTTTCACCTATTTAGTGAGTTAATGAGTTGTCAAACATTTAATGCAACTTTTAATTATAGGCATAAATAAATTAATGAAAGAAAGAAAATTTCCCAAGTATTATCTTTTTATGATATTACACATTTTATTTTTTAAAAAAAATGCTGAAAAAAATTGCAAGGCATCTTTAAAACCTGTTTTTAGAACTGGAGAATCAAACACATTTTACATGTTTTTTTATTTTATTTTATTTTAGGAATTAAAAGTTATATTTATGCAAGATGAGATAAAACAAATGGCAGAAGTGATGAAAATTTAAAGGGCACAATTTTATAAAGGAAGAATGTAACTAATAATTTTGGCATTAGCTAACAAACAATACTAATTTGGTGCAAGTGAGTTCCAATCGAGGTGTTAGTTTCCTATACAAATAGGAAACTCATGAAGAAGAAGTGAGGATGCCTGGCATCTTTTTCAATTAAATGAAGTTTGGTTCATTCACAAAAACAAAGGTCTGATTTCGTGTGGAGTGAAAATTTGTTTCAGGGACATAATTCCTTGTGATGTCCCAACAGAAAATTAAAAGGTCAATGAGTTTGTTGATTGTATTTACCGTCGGCTGGTAAATGATTTAGTGAATTAAAACTCATTAACAAATCACTCCACTCTCTCTATTTCAGGTTCATATGTTTTTCTCATGGTAGAACTCTTCCTGAATAAAATTTGAAAAAATAGTATAACCACTTTGAAACCATATTCTCTAGCTATACCTTTTGGTTGGTTTCTCTAAAATAAAATATGAATGCTACTGAAGATTACCAGGGGCTATTTTACATAGCCCTAAACTAATTTCTCAATGTGCCTAAACAGGCCTTTCTTTACAACCATTGGGAATGAAACTAGATGGTTCTATTGGGCCCCATAATAACTAAAGAAACCCCAATACTTCAGAAACCTCATTTAAAACTAACAAAACATGAGCTGAACATAATAGGGGCAAAATTAAGGAAAAAATGAAAAGTAACACAATTATGGACGGCACTTAGGTTCTGGTTAAATTCCAACTTCCAATATGGCAATTGGCAAACTTGCCAAACTTTTTTCAGAGAATAAAGAATAAGATTTTTGCATGCAATGATACAAGTCTAAACCTTTAAAAACAACGATAAACATAAGTCGAGGCAAAACTCAAGGATAGCAATAAAAATAACAGAAATATGATAACCGCAGAGGATCTCAAACAATTAAAAGTGAAAGGAAATATAACAAATATACAAATGTCAATAAAAAGCTCTTACAGTCCATCAATGACCCATTTGTTGCTAGTTTTGTCGAATTGACAATCTGCCCCCCTCCATGGATGTTGTTTGGGAACACAAATCACCATCCACCCAGCCTATGAGGAACCAATGAATTCTTCAATGTCTGTAAAGCTCTTACTAGAATAAAGAATGCAATCAAAGCAGCCACAAATATTCCAATTCTTAAAAAATTGCTCAGCCTAAAACGAAACCATGTTAGAACCATTGAAACACCATGACACACAAATTAAAGAGTTTGTAATTAAATTACATACCAAAACTCTTGATGCAGGATTCTTCCAGGAAATTTAAAGATGTTTCAGATTCAATTATGTATGACGCATTACAAGAAATCTGGAATGCATGTTATAGTAAAGAAAACAAAGGTAAATACCAATAAAATATATAAAATGTATCACCTGTTCATCATACCAGTCCCTGCCTGATTAAATTGATTCCTCTCAAGAAATGGTCTAATTTCTCATATGATGCATAAAAATTCCCTTTTAATCAAGTCACAGAAAATTAGCACTTAGGAACATATCAAGTATTGTGTTTCTTCAGATTATGGTTTTAACACTGTAGGAGAAAAAGAACAAGATTGACCATAGGAGAAGCTGGTAAAAGCTGAATGATTGAAGGATGAAAAGGTTAACTAGGCTTTTTAATACACTAATATCACTTGTAATGATGTTTCTCTGTTTTTTCCTCAAATGGTAACGGTAGACCTCCTGAAAGAAAAGATTTCAAGATCTAAGAGGTACAACCGAGAACTTTGTCAGAGTGACAGTATTAGTGAGTTTAAACTTCCTGATGATTTTTCACCCTCATGGCTAGCCCATATAGTCTTTCCTTCTTTTTTTGGTTTGTCCTCTCAAGATTGTTATTGGCGGCTAAGACAATTAAAATAAAAAAAAGAATTACTGCTAATCCTCAGAAACGAACCGGAGATGGAACAATTGTTTGTTTTGATTATTTATAAAATAATGGTTACACTTCTATTAACAATTTAGATAGTAATTTGGTCCAGACATAAATACTTACCTAAAGGTTGGCACTACATACAAGCGTCACGCAGCTACTAATAGATATATGATTATGCATATATTTAGCATACCTCTTTCTTGTATTGTTTTGTAATAGCAAATATAATCAAGTAATACACACAGAGAAATGACCATACCTTCTTCGGCAAAGTTTTCGCCTCAGCAACTATAACCTCAAAGACCTCAATGGCTGATTATGGCATGACTTCCTCCCTTAGGCTGCAGAGTATTGTTAAGTTCTCCCATTAATAGGAACAGTTGTGTTAAGCACAAGTGCTGTATACGGACCCCCACTCATTTTTACAACACCACATCTGAAATACAAATTACCATTTATCAGGATGTCAAATCCCTTTTCCCTGCACTCCTGACTGAGTCATCATCTCTGCAAAGTGTAACCAAACTGATAGTTTCTGTTCGGATCCACATCCATCGTATAAGCAATTTGGCTGATATCGTACTAACAGAGCAGTTTGATAAAGAGCTTCTGGATAATAGTTCGGGGCCTTTGCATTCTGTTTGATGCTAGTTTCAGTAGACCTGATTTGATCAGAATTCTGACCAAAAGTTTAATGGGACTCCAAATCTATCCCCACCCCAGTGATCCCCACATAATCTACATCAAACTTTGGCTTCCCATTACCACAACTCGTCTTGTAACTGTTCGGATAACCCCCTCACCCCACTCTGGACCAAAAATATGATTTACTGTCAACTTGAAGAATTTCATTGCAAGGATCGCTGGATCTCCTGACCAGTGCTATGGAAGCATATAGAGACAGTGCCATCTGTAAGAAACACAGCTTCAGCAAATGCTTGGTCATCATGGCCACTCCAACCTGATTTCAAGAATAATTGGGTGCCTTCAACAGATTGTCAAATAGAGGTTCATTGTCAAAATTAGGCAGTTTAACCAATCCAAAGAAGACCCTCACATTGTAATGTCCCTTTGGCACTCTGTTATAATGTAGCAATTTTCAGGCCCTCAGATAGAGGAAAATAACGAAGTGTTTTAACGGAGGAGTGATAAAACTTGAGCTGACGAATTAGCAGGTATGCCTCCTGTATATGCAAAATCCTTAAACCACAGTGTATTTGTAGGTTTAGTATGGACATTTTGACGAGCTCCCACAGCTTATACGCATGGCAAAGGTGCTGTAATTAGAAAACATATTCATAGCATGACGCAAACTATGAAGAATAAATATCTAAAACAGAACATTATAGTTATCTTTTGTTAGCCTAAGTTTAAGACCAGGATTAAATCATCTAAATTTGCAAATGGCATGCAGAGGGTTGGATCACACCATGACCAAGGGACTCACCTACTGCCTAACCTCACTTATCATGTCGAACTAGAAGAACCTCTTCTTCCATGATATACAATTACATCTTTTATAATTTATAGAGTTTAGAGCCCAAGCGCAGACACAAGTACAAATAACACAACTAAAAAAGCAGTAGGAGATCTATTTCAAAAAATTTCTACCTTGTATCATCTTTAACAGACATTTTTTGAGCCAGGAACAAAAAGCCCTTTCAAAAACCTTAACAAAGAACAAAAAGTGAAACTAGGAAGTAGAAGTACTTCTATATTCATCGTTTCTTCAAAGTGGGGCAACGTTCATTCTGCCAAAATGAACAAAAGAATTAAAGCAATGTACAAGATACCTCACTCTTCAGAATTGGTGCCACCAAGGGGAGATCTGACCTCTTAAAGGTGCTTCTTTTGGTGTCACTATACTAACTGAACAGATTTTGACTGGAACATCAAGCGGTTCCACAAGTTTGAGATTCAGTGTCAAATCTACAAGTGGTTTTTAATACAGGTGTTGAGAAGCAGATCAAAATCCAGGAATCAGGACAGGAACAGACTTTAAATAAAGAGCACTTCATGTCAGTAATTGTCAATCTAAATTCATGATAGCAAACTAGGTCCATTCTCTGAAGCATGTCGAGCACCATGATGATAATGATGCCTTGCCAACTGAATATCATGCGATAACTGGGTCCTTGATTTTGCATAAGGAGCACCTCTTGCTGCAGAAAAGACAAAGGTTGAAGGAGTTATAAATCTGCCTCAAAGAAAAACCCCAGACTTTTAAGGATGCATGTGCATTTGTGCACCTCTGTGCTAAAAGGTCTGAGACGATTTTCATGGTTGAGAACAGCTGGGTATAGGGTCTAATTAGAATTACTCTCTTTCATACACATTTGAGAAGCTTATTGGAATTAGAAGTTCTAAAACTAATTATGTTCTCGTGTAACTGTTCATCATGAATGTCTTACCAGCAATTTGCTGTGCTCGTTGAATATTTTGCCGCCTTTTCCACCAAACCACTGAACAGACAACAAGAAGCAAGACAATGATGAGAACACCGAATCCGATGCCAATCTTTGCACCAGTGGAAAGGTGGGGCCCACATGTAGGTAAGCCAGGTATACCACATAGACCTGCATTATCAGTAAAGCTGCAAATATCCGAGATTAGTATTTCATTGACTTAATAACAAACACTTAATCCTCAATACGATCAGGCAAGTTCATGTTTGCAAACCTATATTCCACATATTAACATGCAAGATATAATAGTGAGAACATACTTGAAGCTAGCTCTATGATGCAAAAGGCTTCCTCCTAATGCAGCTGGAACTCTTCCAGACAGAGAGTTGCCATTGAGGTTCCTGCATCATGATCAACTTCAGTTAGAACATTACTGCATCATAAGATTTCATGTGTTAGCTTAACAGATCTTACAATCTACGTAATGATGTCAGCTGTCCGAGGCTTTCAGGAATTGATCCATTTAAGAAATTGTATGAGAGGTCCCTGAAATTTGGATAAAATCATTTGCTAATAGTTAGATAAATAGTATAGAAAATGAAACCTAATCGATGGTGAGAGAAAGAGACTTCAGGACACACTTACAGCACTTCTAAGCTAGCAATTGTTCCGACTGAGGATGGAATAGCTCCACGAATGCTGTTTCCACTGAAATTTCTACAAATACCCAAGTTCACATATGTCAGCTTACTGTAGGATTGAAGAATAAGCAGAAATTTGAGAGCCAGTGCGAGGATATTGAATTAAAACCATTTTATTCTATCAATGTCATCATTTCCTCTAGGTTCTGATCATAGTGAACATATATTATAACACACAGAAGCAACCAATAACAAAATTTTGCATTACAAAGAGGAGCACATGGGCTACAAACTTACATGCTTTGTAGATGACGCAAACGGGATATATCAATTGGCAAGAAACCCCTCAGACCTTGGTTGTCAAGACCACTGATCAAGTAGAAGCAAAAAAATTAATTACCTAAAATATACTTATAAGTGATGAAGACATGAGAAGAAAAGGCATTAATTACCCAAAATATACTTTTGAGTGATTGAAGACACCAACATTTGAAAGTTTCTAGCAATGGTAAATATCTTAGAATACAGAAATTGAATGACTCCAGAACAAGACAAAATGAAACCTAGTGCATAGACTAAACTACATGAAAATATTAAACAAGAAAAAATCACCAAGTCAATAACCAACCTATTGGTATGGGTAAAGATAACAAAAGATCTTTGCCATCATTGATAGAAAAGAGAATTCCATCTCAATAATCCAAACACAAACAATTCCAAAGACTTACCAAAACAGAGATATTATCAAAAACAAAAAACTAAAGATAGAAAAGGGCTGCTGATCAAAGATATTGGGATAGCCATTGTGAATTAGGTGACTTTAATTTCTAGTTTTCAGGAGAGATACAAAGGAAAAAGAAGTTCTATGCATGATATAAGAAGCATTTCAGGAAAATCATTGCATGTGGAAGTAGTTTTGACAGACACAATTGTTTGACTGCTGCATTAGCTAACAAACAATACTAATTTGGTGCAAGTTAGTTCCGATCCGAGGTGTTAGTTTCCTATACAAATAGGAAGACTCATGTAAGAAGAAGTGAGGAATGCCTGGCATCTTTTTCAATTACAATGAAAGTTTGGTTCATTCACAAAAACAAAGGTCTGATTTCGTGTGGAGTTGAAAATTTGTTTCAGGGACAGTAAAATTCCTTGTGATGTCGCCAACAGAAAATTAAAAGGTCAATGAGTTTGTTGATTGTATTTACCGTCAGCTGGTAAATGATTTAGTGAATTATAAACTCATTAACAAAAAATCATCTCCAGTCTCTCTATTTCAGGTTCATATGTTTTTTTCTCATATGTAGAACTCTTCCTGGAATAAAATTTGATGAAATAGTATAACCACTTTGTAAACCATATTCTCTAGCTATAACCGTTTGGTTGGTTTCTGCTAAAATAAAAATATGAATAGCTACTGAAGAATTACCAGGGCGCTATTTTACATAGCCCTAAACTAATTTCATCTATGTGCCTAAACAAGGCCATTCTTTACAACCATTGGGAATGAAACTGCGAATGGTTCTATTGGGCCCCATAATAACTAAAGAAACCCCAATACTTCAGAAACCTCATTTAAAAACTAACAAAACATGAGCTGAACATAAATAGGGGGCAAAATTAAAGGAAAAATAATGAAAAGTAACACAAATTATGAGACGGCACTTATGTTCTGGTTAAATTCCAACTTCCAATATGGCAATTGGCAAACTTGCCAAACTTATTTCAGTAGAATAAAGAATAAGATTTTTGCATGCAATGATACAAGTCTAAACCTTTAAAAACAACTGATAATACATAAGTACGAGGCAAAACTCGAAAGGATAGCAATAAAAAATAAACAGAAATAATGAGATAACCAGCAGAGGATCTCAAACAATTAAAAGTGAAAGGAAATATAACAAATATAAGACAAATGCTCAATAAAAAGCTCTTACAGTCCATCAATGACCCATTTGTTGCTAGTTTTGTCGAATTGACAATCTGCCCCCCTCCATGGATGTTGTTTGGGAACACAAGGATCACCATTCCAACCCAGCCTATGAGGAAGCCCCAATGAATTCTTCAATGTCTGTAAAGCTCTTACTAGAATAAAGAATGAACAAATCAGAAGCAGCTCACAAATATTCCAATTCTTAAAAAAAATTGCTCAGCCATAAAACGAAACCATGTTAGAACCATTGAAACACACATGACACTACAAATTAAAGATGTTTGTAATTAAATTACATACCAAAACTCTTGATGCAGGATTCTTCCAGGAAAAATTAAAGATGTTTCAGATTCAATTATGTATGACGCATTACAAAGAAATCTGGAATGCATGCTTAATAGTAAGAAAACAAAGGTAAATACCAAATAAAATATATAAAATGTATCACCTTGTTCATCATACCAGTTCCCTGCCTGATTAAATTGATTCCTCTCAATGAAATGGTCTAATTTCTCATATGGATGCATAAAAAATTCCCTTTTAATCAAGTCCACAGAAAATTAGCACTTAGGAACATAATTCAAGTATTGTGTTTCTTCAGATTATGGTTTTAACACTGTAGGAGAAAAAGAACAAGATTGACCATAGGAGAAGCTGGTAAAAGCTGAATGATTGAAGGATGAAAAGAGTTAACTAGGCTTTTTAATACACTAATATCACTTGTAATGATGTTTCTCTGTTAATTTTCCTCAAATGGTGAACGGGTAGACCTCCTGAAAGAAAAGATTTCAAGATCTAAGAGGTACAACCAGAGAACTTTGTCAGAGTGACAGTATTAGTGAGTTTAAACTTCCTGATGATTTTTCACCCTCATGGCTAGCCCATATTAGTCTTTCCTTCTTTTTTTGGTTTGTCCTCTCAAGATTGTTATTGGCGGCTAAGACAAATTAAAATAAAAAAAAGAATTACTGCTAAATCCTCAGAAACGAACCAGAGAGTGGAACAAGTGTTTGTTTGGATTATTTATAAAATAATGGTTACACTTCTATTAACAATTTAGATAGTAATTTGGTCCAGACATAAATACTTACCTAAAGGTTGGTCTATGGATGCAGTGTATGAAAATACCACTACTCCTTTATATATATATAAACCAATTAAGCAGTAATAATTCTATGAACTAGAAGACATGTAAACAGGCTCATGCATGCAAGCTCACGCATATAATTGATTTATGCATATATTTAGCATACCTCATTCTTGTATCAGTGTTTTGTAATAGCAAATATAAATCAAGTAATACAACAACAGAGAAATGACCATATACCTTCTTCTGGCAAAGTTTTCGACTCAGCAACTATAACCTCAAAGACCTCAATGGCATTGATTATGGCATGACTTCCTCCCTTAGGCTGCAGAGTGATTGTTAAAGTTCTCCCATTAATAGGAACAGTTGTGTTAAGCACAAGTGCTGTATACTGACCCCCACTCATTTTTACAACATCCACATCCTGAAATGCAATATTACCATTTATCAGGATGTCAAATACCCTTTTCCCTGCACTCCTGACTGAGTCATCAATCTCTGCAAAGTGTAACCAAACTGAATAGTTTCTGTTCGGATCCACATCCATCGTATAAGCAAAATTTGGCTGACTATCAGTACTAACAAGAGCAGTTTGATAAAGAGCTTCTGGATAATAGTTCGGGGCCTTTGCATTCTGTTTGATGCTAGTTTCAGTAGACCTGATTTGATCAGAATTCTGACCAAAAGTTTTAATGGGACTCCAAAATCTATCCCCACCCCAGTGATCCCCACTATAATCTACATCAAACTTTGGCTTCCCATTACCACAACTCAGTCTTGTAACTGTTCTGAGGATAACCCCCTCACCCCACTCTGGACCAAAATAATATGATTTACTGTCAACTTGAAGAATTTCAAGTGCAAGGATCGCTGGATCTCCATGACCAGTGCTATGGAAGCATATAGAGACAGTGCCATCTGTAAGAAACACAAGGGCTTCAGCAAATGCTTGGTCATCATGGCCACTCCAACCTGATTTCAAGGAATAAATTTGGGTGCCTTCAACAGATATGTCAAATAGAGGTTCAGTGTCAAAATTAGGCAGTTTAACCAATCCAAAGAAGACCCTCACATTGTAATGTCCCTTTGGCACTCTGTTAATAATGTAGCAATTTTCAGGACCTTCAGATAGAGGAAAATAACGAAGTGTTTTAAGCGGAGGAGTGATAAAACTTGGAGCTGACGAATTAGCAGGTATGCCTCCTGTATATGCAAAATCCTTAAACCACAGTGTATTTGTAGGTTTAGTATGGACATTTTGACGAGCTCCACAACTNGGTCCATGTTTGGGGGGGTTAAAGGAAACTGTACGGTTTGTTGTTGTTATATGGGTGATGTATGTGAATGACCGAAGAGGACTCGCTGCAACTGACTGACACATGGTCACGTGAAGGGTACTTTTTTCATGATTTTGGATATATATATATATATATATATATTTTAATTGCTTACATCATGGCACGTGCGTTTGGGCAATTTTGTATCATTCTTTTGTGTAACTTATTTGGGCCTGTGGCTCATGGTTGATACCCTGGAGCTCAGGTTTTTCTTTCCCGAATTTTAGCTGAAAACTAAAACCACTCCTACTGTAGAGTATTGCCTTTTTCATGCTAAATTTTTGTATCCGATCGATTTATTATTTGATACCCACTTGCTTTTATTTATTATTTGGCTTTATTTTTTGCTTTGCTCAGGAATCAGGAGTGTTTACATTATAGATTTTTGTTTTACACATTTTTCACATTCATGGCATGAGAGAGAGTGGAGTCTATCACGAAGACTAAGAATAAAAATTCAGTATTGCCAGTCCACAACCCACAACCCATCTCACAACTCTTCAGGTGATAGCTTGTAATTAGTCAATTCGCAAATGGACAAGCAAGACCCATAGTAAACAGACGGAATCTATTTGCAAGCTAACCAATTATAAATTATCATGTCGGAGGTTATGAAAGAAAGTTGTGAGATTGAATTATGAACTTAATACTACTCATAAAAATTATGAGATTATTAAATGAGTGGCGTAATTTTTGGCCCAAAAATCTGCTTAGCTTGATCTCATTTCTAGACTATCGGATATCCATTTGTAACCTAGCTGCTCCTGTTCTGTTTATCATTTTACTTTCAGCATAGACGGTGCAAAAGATAATGAAATATCTTATGGGCTTTTATTTGGACCCTTGCACGACATCTTCAACCCATCATCATTGATAGTTGCCCAATTAGCCCAATAATTCATGACATAATTTTGTAATTGCTTAGGTTCACTGCAACAACTGGGTCAAGCAGTCATCAGTCATCACGTCTATGATTGCCGAATATTAGTAAACTACTGGAGAACATTTTCACGCGCAAATGCTCTTTTATCAGTACAGAGTAGGGCTGCCTAGGTCCACATCAATTCACACTGCAAGCAGATTATAAGCTGAAAGGTATCATCAATATAAGCTTAAGCAAAAACTACGAAAAGATATATATGCAAAAAAAGTGAGCTTCTTCCATGATATACAATTACATCTTTTATAATTTATAGAGTTTAGAGCCCAAGCGCAGACACAAGTACAAATAACACAACAAAAAAAGCAGTAGGAGATCTATTTCAAAAAATTTCTACCTTGTATCATCTTTAACAGACATTTTTTGAGCCAGGAACAAAAAGCCCTTTCAAAAACCTTAACTAAGAACAAAAAGTGAAACTAGGAAGTAGAAGTACTATATTCATTGTTTCTTCAAAGTGGGGCAACGTTCATTCTGCCAAAATGAACAAAACAATTAAAGCAATGTACAAGATACCTCACTTTTCAGAATTGGTGCCACCAAGGGGAGATCTGACCTCTTAAAGTTGCTTCTTTTGGTGTCACTATGCTAACTGAACAGATTTTGACTGGAACATCAAGCAGTTCCACAAGTTTGAGATTCAGAGTCAAATCTACAAGTGGTTTTTAATACAGGTGTTGAGAAGCAGATCAAAATCCAGGAATCAGGACAGGAGCAGACTTTAAATAAAGACCACTTCATGTCAGTAATTGTCAATCTAAATTCATGATAGCAAACTAGGTCCATTCTCTGAAGCATGTCGAGCACCATGATGATAATGATGCCTTGCCAACTGAATATCATGTGATAACTGGGTCCTTGATTTTGCATAAGGAGCACCTCTTGCTGCAGAAAAGACAAAGGTTGAAGGAGTTATAAATCTGCCTCAAAGAAAAACCTCAGACTTTTAAGGATGCATGTGCATTTGTGCACCTCTGTGCTAAAAGGTCTGAGACGATTTTCATGGTTGAGAACAGCTGGGTATAGGGTCTAATTAGAATTACTCTCTTTCATACACATTTGAGAAGCTTATTGGAATTAGAAGTTCTAAAACTAATTATGTTCTCGTGTAACTGTTCATCATGAATGTCTTACCAGCAATTTGCTGTGCTCGTTGAATATTTTGCCGCCTTTTCCACCAAACCACTGAACAGACAACAAGAAGCAAGACAATGATGAGAACACCGAATCCGATGCCAATCTTTGCACCAGTGGAAAGGTGGGGCCCACATGTAGGTAAGCCAGGTATACCACATAGACCTGCATTATCAGTAACGCGGCAAAATAATCCGAGATTAGTATTTCATTGACTTAATAACAAACACTTAATCCTCAATACGATCAGGCAAGTTCATGTTTGCAAACCTATATTCACATATTAACATGCTAGATATAATAGTGAGAACATACTTGAAGCTAGTCTATGATGCAAAAGGCTTCCTCCTAATGCAGCTGGAACTCTTCCAGACAGAGAGTGTTGCCATTGAGGTTCCTGCATCATGATCAACTTCAGTTAGAACATTACTGCATCATAAGATTTCATGTGTTAGCTTAACCGATCTTACAATTACGTAATGATGTCAGCTTTCCGAGGCTTTCAGGATTGATATTTAAGAAATTGTAGGAGGTCCCTGAAATTTGGATAAAATCATTTGCTATAGTAGATAAATAGTATAGAAAATGAAACCTAATCGATGGTGAGAGAAAGAGACTTCAGGACACACTTACAGCACTTCTAAGCTAGCAATTGTTCCGATGAGGATGGGATAAGCTCCACGAATGCTGTTTCCACCAAATTTCTACAAATACCCAACTTCACATATGTCAGCTTACTGTAGGATTGAAGAATAAGCAGAAATTTGGAGACCAGTGCGAGGATGAATTAAAACCATTTTATTTCATCAATGTCATCATTTCCTCTAGGTTCTGATCAAGTGAACTATTTATAAACACAAGAAGCAACCAATAAAAAATTTTGCATTACAAAGAGGAGCCATGGGCTACAAACTTACATGCTTTGTAGATGACGCAAACGGGATATATCAATTGGCAAGAAACCCTCAGACCTTGGTTGTCAAGACCACTGATCAAGTAGAAGCAAAAAAATTAATTACCTAAAATATACTTATAAGTGATGAAGACATGAGAAGAAAAGGCTTAATTACCCAAATATACTTTTGAGTGATTGAAGACACCAACATTTGAAAGTTTCTAGCAATGGTAAATATCTTAGAATACAGAAATGAATGACTCCAGAACAAGACAAAATGAAACCTAGTGCATAGACTAAACTACATGAAAATATTAAACAAGAAAAAATCACCAAGTCAATAACAACCCATTGGATGGGTAAAGATAACAAAGATCTTTGCCATCATTGATAGAAAAGAGAATTCCATCTCATATCCAAACACAAACAATCCAAAGAACTTACAAAACAGAGATATTATCAAAAACAAAAACTAAAGATAGAAAAGGGCTGCTGATCAAAGATATTGGGATAGCCATTGTGAATTAGGTGACTTAATTTTAGTTTTCAGGGAGATACAAAGGAAAAAGAAGTTCTATGCATATAAAGCATTTCAGGAACATGCATGTGAAGTATTTTGACAGACACAATTGTTTGACTGTGCATTAGCTAACAAACAATACAATTTGGTGCAAGTGAGTTCCAATCTGAGGTGTTAGTTTCCTATACAAATAGGAAGACTCATGCTAAGAAGTGAGAATGCCTGGCATCTTTTCAATTACATGAAAGTTTGGTTCATTCACAAAAACAAAGGTCTGATTTCGTGTGGAGTTGAAAATTTGTTTCAGGGAACTAAAATTCCTTGTGATGTCCCAACAGAAAATTAAAAGGTCAATGAGTTTGTTGATTGTATTTACCGTCGCTGGTAAATGATTTAGTGAATTATAAACTCATTAACAAAAATCATCTCACTCTCTCTATTTCAGGTTCATATGGTTTTTTCTCATGGTAGAACTCTTCTTGAATAAAATTTGACAAAAATAGTATAACCACTTTGCAACAACATATTCTCTAGCTATAACCGTTTGGTTGGTTTCTGCTAAAATAAAAATATGAATAGCTACTGAAGAATTACCAGGGGCTATTTTACATAGCCCTAAACTAATTTCATCAATGTGCCTAAACTAGGCCTTTCTTTACAACCATGGGAATGAAACTAGAATGGTTCTATTGGGCCCCATAATAAACAAGAAACCCCAATACTTCAGAAACCTCATTTGAAAACTAACAAAAACATGAGCTGACATAAATAGGGGGCAAAATTGAAGGAAAAATAATGAAAAGTAACAAAATTATGGAGACGGCACTTATGTTCTGGTTAAATTCCAACTTCAATATGGCAATGGCAAACTTGCCAAACTTTTTCAGAGAAAAAAGAATAGATTTTTGCATGCAATGATACAAGTCTAAACCTTAAAAACAACTGATATAACATAAGTACGAGGCAAAACTCGAAGGAAGCAAAAAATAAACAGAAATAATGAGATAACCAGCAGAGGATCTCAAACAATTAAAAGTGAAAGGAAATATAACAAATATAAGACAAAGCTCAATAAAAAGCTCTTACAGTCCATCAATGACCCATTTGTTGCTAGTTTTGTCGAATTGACAATCTGCCCCCCTCCATGGATGTGTTTGGGAACACAAGGATCACCATTAACCCAGCCTATGAGGAAGCCCAATGAATTCTTCAATGTCTGTAAAGCTCTTACTAGAATAAAGAATGAACAAATCAGAAGCAGCTCACAAATATTCCAATTCTTAAAAAAATTGCTCAGCCATAAAACGAAACCATGTTAGAACCATTGAAAACCACTGACACTACAAATTAAAGATGTTTGTAATTAAATTACATACCAAAACTCTTGATGCAGGATTCTTCCAGGAAAATTAAAGATGTTTCAGATTCAATTATGTATGACGCATTACAAAGAAATCTGGAATGCATGCTAATAGTAAGAAAACAAAGGTAAATACCAATAAAATATATAAAATGTATCACCTTGTTCATCATACCGTTCCCTGCCTGATTAAAT